TGTGGGTTATTGGTTGTGCCTGTGTTTTGATGGGTTGATTAAATCGATTAGTATTTAGTTGAGCCTGGTTGTGTAATGGTGGGTTACTGTCGGGTATGTTGTGTCAGTTTGAGAGTCGGTTGTCTTTTGATGGTTGTTAGTCTGGTGATTAAGTATCGGGTTGTGCCCCATTGTGTTCTGTTAATTATATAATGGGTTGTGTTCTCTTGTGAATATGTTATGTTGGTTGGGTAGATGGTTGTAGCTAGTCGGGTGTGGTATCTGGTTGTGTCTGATTGTGTTGTGTGATTGGCGTTGCCTCCAATTGGAGTAAGTTAGTTGTGTATATTGGTATTACAGTTTGATTGTGTTTTATTGCTTGTGCCTGATTTTGTTTTGATTGTTTGGTTTTGGGTTTTGGAAAATTGTGTTGTGTAACTTGAACAATGAGTTGAGTGTTTGCTTTCGTTGGTTTATCATTGGGTTGTGCCAAATTGTGTGGTTATAATTTCTCAGTTCGTTGTGTTTTCATGGTTGTTAGTTTAGTTGTGTTTTATTGGTTGTGCCCGATTTTGTTTTAATTGTTTAGTGTTGGGTTGTGCACATTTGTGTTGAGTTAGTTCAACAGTTGGTTGTGTTAGCCTTTGTTTTTATCATTGGGTTGTCACATATTGTGCTAATTTGACAGTTGGTTGTGTTTTGGTGATTGAAAGGCAGGTTGCGCTATATTTGCTTTGGTGCTGGGTTATGCTCTGTTGCGTTCTGTGTATGTTGTCACTGCGTTATGTTCTATTGCACTGTTGTATGATTGGTGACCTAGTATATAGGTTGTGTTTGGTTGTAATAGGTTATATATGTCGTGTTACGGGCTGTGTTTGATCGGGTTGTTGTGTATTATTGGGTTAAGATACAAATGGCCAGTTTAGGGTATTATGTTGTTGGTATATCAGTTGGTTGGTATATTCAGCGTAGAATCAAAGGGTATAATAATGTTTGTACACATTATTAGTTTGTTAGAGGTTTGGTACCTACATGTATTCATATATGATCTCTTGTGTGAGATATCAACTGGTATGATTGGCGTTAGCTTTCTCTGATTCTCTGATGAGGGGGTCTCCTGTTGTTCAATGAATCCAAGAAAAGCAATGCTAATTTATCTTTTTTACATAATGTATTTTGTTGATTTTTCATACAAAACAGGATAGATGTACTTTTATTGCATAAATGATTTACTTTTCTCTATAAATAACCAACAACTTTGTTCTGGGCTAAAAGACGATTTATTAATTAAATAATTATAATATAAATGCAAACACAATTAATACGAAGATACACACAATAAAATTAAAAACTATTAACCGCCCCCTGTGTTGTATTCCTTAAATAAATAAAGGGCGGGAGGGTTGGGTGATTTTTAAAATTGCACAACGCGCATGACGGAAACATTTACAGTACAAGTAAGTACATTGAATTTCACAGGTAAGTATAGATGTCATGCTAGGATGGAATCATTATAATCGTCGTTCAAAATAAACTTCAATTTATGAATATAAATACACATATATTTGTGTCACTTTCTATGATTTCTTTACTTATCTGATCTTAAAGTATTACCAAAATATACAGCTGCAGTCCATGTACAATATGGCAAGTGATTTTAGATGGTCATATCTTTCACCATGGGATAGAAATCAAGATAAGTAAGAGACCGACCTGGGCAAGGCTACGAATGCCTGTATGGTTTGTTATGTCTAAGAAACTATTGGTTGAAATCACTCCATAATAGACATTATGCTAATGCTTAAGATGGAATTCTACTTCTGAGTGAAATAAAAAGATGCTATATGAGTCAATAGGTGTTGCAATAGAGGTCAGATATTTGGCTCGATGGATTTCACTCAAGCTTGATATGACATACTGAATCACTTCTACCATTTTTTATATTGCGTGTGCTCCTTCGGAACTAAGTATAGCATTGATAAGTATACTTACAAGGGCATACTTAAATGTACACACTAATTTCAAATATAATTTCTTCCGAAAACAGAAATGTTTGCGCATTTTGTAGCATAATGCAGTCATTGCACTTCACTTAATGACCACTATTTCAGCCTATCTGTGTTCAAACCCTTAAATATTCCCCAAAGTATAGTTTGACAATGAATTGGTTATTGTAAACCTAGAAATTATCTTTTCTGGTCTAATGGATATTCTTCATTTTGAAATTGATTTCATGAAATTAATAAATGACCCTTTGGGGATGAAAGGGTTAACATGTATTTTTGCATTCACCAATAATACTTATGGAGTTGTGATTCTGAAAGCTGACACTCTCAATGGTGTATTGAAATCTTAGTGCAGATGAAGTATTTTATTTGACCCTAGTTTTCACTACTATTAAACACGGATTGAGATGCGTTTATAATTACGTACTTCAAAAAACGAACTGCGAAACGAAAATTATCGAAATACGTTTTCGTAAACGTAACGAGATACGGATGCGGATACGTTTTAGCTAACCCGTTGTGCGAAACCTCTCTAATTTGAACTGTAGCAGTTACGCAATTGTGACTTCATAAATGCACATGTTCTATTGAATAAAATGTGAAATTTTAGTAAAATTGTGATCAGTATTTCAAAAGTTATCCCGATTTCAACGAACCATGTAGGCGTCGAATGTTACGTCTTACAGCGTATTTGACAATGTCGGGGTACATTTAACTTTAAAAATATGGTAGATCCCATCTATCTTTTCAAGGAAAAATAGTTTCAGTGAAATGCGAATAAAATATACTTCAAAATGATGTATAAAGCACGTAGTTAGCTTTTTAAATAAGGCAGATATTAACGCTTAAAGCTGAGATTAGCCCGTATTTCCCGAATTGTCCCCAGGTCCATGCACGTCATATCAGCATGCATTTCTTCTAATTTTCTTGTAAATTTCTTTCATTATTCCATTGACATGAACATTAACATTTGTAGGGTGTTTTTAATCAGGCGGTGTATAAATACATCAAAGTCTTCTGATTTTCCATGACAGAAGTAACGCTGAAATCTCACATATCTGAAAATATGTAGGATAAATGTAATCCCTATTCCAAGTTTCGTGCAAACATGCTTTTATTACCACAACCATTGCTCTTTCTAACATGACTCTTTCTAACATTATAAATCTAATCAGGTGCCGTTATTTCTTTTTAGATAAACAATATTTGCCATGTTATTTTCCCATAGGGAAAACTCATGCGATCTATTTCTTTCAGCTCAATTTGGGTCACCCTTAATAGATATCTTTAAAAACCCTGAAGGAATTACTTATTTCCTTTCTTATACTGAAAATCTTTAAATATGATGAGTTATTTAAGAAATCAAAGACTTAAATAATGCATCTTTATGAAATTGTGGAACACTTTTATGAATATATTTTTGAACATTGCTAAAAGTGCCACTTGCTTTTAAAAGTACATCGTTTCCACATATTTTGTTCATGCAATGTTTGGGCAAAATGCTCCATGAATTATCATGGGTCTCCAGTAGATTATATGACCATTTACGCAATAAACTGTTAATTTTATTTTTAAGATCAATCATTTTATAATAACCTTGTTCATATGAACCTATCAAAGTTGACCTTATCAGGTTTACTATCCGAAATAAACTTATACATTGCTCTTGCTATTATTCTGCTGTCGTCACATGGTGTACATTTTAGTGATCCTAAATATAGTATTTTGACAGTGCTGGTGTTTCTATAATTGTAATCTTTCCATGCATTGCTAATTAACGATTTTTCCATTCCATGGGCCCATTCATTTAGTAATTCAATGATAAAATTTCTCTTGAAGATTGGTAGAATTCTCTAGCAAAAATCGGCTTATTTTCCGATCACATATCAGGTAATGGCCGTTACCTTCCCTTGATACTGACCACCATTTGCATTCGTTCGACTTCACTTCTTAAAAGATAGCTTCGTTGGTAGTTTATATATCTAGACTCTGCGCGCAGGGCCGGGGCGCAGGGTAACCAGTGAATGGAACTACATGTACTGGTCAAAAGTGCTCGTAATTAGCAGATGTTCGTGTAACGATTTTCAAACGTGGGTCTGGGTCAGTAAGTCTCGTTTTCTTCAGCGTTTCATATCTCATCTTCTAATTAAACTTAAAGAAACAGATTGATTAAGCCAAGTGATTTTGTACAGTCATATCTCTCACCTTGAGTACTTTCCGGCCATAAATACAGTGGTTTTTATAATATTACCAAAGAGTTGTTAAACAAAACTGACGTGAAATCAGTTTATGCTATTTTGTATAGTACTTAGTGATTGTTAAAATTAGATTGTAAGTATTGTTTTGCCATGCATAAACATGAATGTTTCATTTATTATTTGCTTTATTGGACTTATATCTCGATGTACATTACATGTTCAAGAGACCAATAAACTTATTAATTAATAAGAATATAAAAACGTATGTTTTATTTCAAGTGATGTCCCCATGGTACTAAAAATATCAACCAACTCTCTCAAAACGAATGGATTAGGACCCCATGTTGTCACTTTTTAAAAAAATGTAAGGCTTATTTTCTAAAAAGAGGATCTTGTTTTTCTCAATATAAATAGATCAAAAGTTTGTTCTACACTATATTAACAACTTTTGAAAAGGAGATAGGGATTGAAATGTGATGAAGTTAAAAATCACATTAAGCTACCCATGTTATTTTCCAAAGGGAAAACTCGTGCTATCCATTGTTTTCAGCATGATTTTGGTCATCGAAAATTGATATCTCAAAAACTAGACTTTCAATGCCTTTCCACTTTTAACCTTTCCATGCAATAAAAATTAGAAAAAGAAGAAAATTAAAAAAATAAAAACCTCTATGTCTCTATAATATTATTTAGTATCACATTGACTGTCAAATATTTAGCAACTTTCTTCACTTCAGTACCCCATTACAGGGTCTGATTCATCCATAACCATTTTCACGTGATTTGTTCATGTTTTCCAGGGCTGTGCGATTGTAACCACAATCTTCATCATTATCTCAATATTGTGTTTGTGCTTAGAGACCCACTCAGACTTCAAGGTGAACATCTCCACAGAGGGACTGGCGTGGAAGGAATTTGGATACGGGGATGTGACAGCCTTCTTGAAAGAATATGAAATCAATTGGAAGATAAATTCACAGGAAAACTGTAAAATTGAAACTGTTAATCCGAATACTGGCACAGGCAATGATAGCACACTCCAAAACACAATCGGTAGCACAATCTCTGCCATAACATCGGGGCAACTTGAGACTGATAGCACAACACCAGAAAAGATACTGGTAATCGTTTCAGGAAATTGCAAAGAAACAGCCTACATGTTAGATATCATTGACATTATCTGCTTCATCTATTTCTCCGTAGAGCTTATCATTCGTCTTGCTTTCTCACCCAGCAAGTTAAGATTTATCTTTAATGTATTCACTATCTTTGACATTCTGGCCGTGTTTCCGTACTTTCTCGTAATCTTTCAAGAATTGGCGAACCCTACCTCAGGGTACAAGACAGATATAATAGATGTCGCTGTTGCGTTGAGAGCTCTTAGGGTGTTCCAGTTATTCAGAATAATGCGTCACTATACAGGGGTCCAGGTGTTATATTACACATTCAAAGTAAGCATCAGAGAATTCCTCCTACTGCTCATCATGATGATGCTTGGGATGCTAATCTTCGCTTGCTTTATATACTTTGCTGAAAATTATATCCACGAGAGTGATTCTCCCAATAAGATAACCAGTATACCTGTCGGCTTATGGTGGGCTCTCGTTACTATGACAACCATTGGATACGGAGATTTTTTCCCGACGACGGCAACCGGATACATCATTGGATCAATGTGTGTTTTATGTGGTGTTTTGACTGTGGCATTTACAGTGCCGATTATAGTAAATAATTTTATGATGTACTATAGGCATGCTAGCGCTAGGAGGAAGCCTACACAGTCTAAAACTGTTGAAAATATAGCCTAGTCGAAGAATAGGTTGAACCATCGGGGGCTTAACAGGATCTTTAACTATGCCCATGATTGACCATGTTAAGCAAAACATTTTAAATGCTTGCTCTTGCTGAGCAAAGGGAAAATAATTTTAAGAAGTTATATCATGGTTTGATTGAATTGCTACTTACTCATGTCTCCATATTGCTCATCTCCTCCAAATTGGACATCATTTCCAAATATAGAGTTCATTTTTAAGAAATTATGTTTTTTAAATGGTCCTCAATATTCAAAGAGCTCAAAATGGGGGGGGGGAGATTTAAAGATTTTTTGGATCCCTTGTTAATTTCCAGGTTTGCCCGTCCCCCTATTCCTCTCAAACACAAGGCTGGGGAAATATGTTGCAGGGGATGGGAGGAGACTTGATATAGGACTGCATACAATTTTTGTGAAGAAATATATATATAATATATACCAGAGATTAAATCAGCAAAATATAAGAAACATTATATTCTTTAAATAAATAAAATATATTTATAAAACACTGTATTGGATGCTTGCACATTAATGAGTTTTTCATTTGCTAAATGGATAAATACACCCACGAAAATTCATTCAGAAAATTCACATATTCTTTTTCTCCAATGTGAATGTCAAGAGAGAAGACTTAAACAATAATGATGGAAAAAGTAATCTAAAATGAAACAAAGAAACAATGAATTTAGATTGATGACATGAGTAGTGTCTTATTATTTTTCAAGTTCTTGCTTCGAGTCCTTATTTGAACCCCCAAACACCTTACTCTGGCAGTGAATTTGATAGGAGTGGGTCAAGAGACTTTGGTCCAATACCTGAGTGACATATTCATAGGTGCACCTCTTACTTAGCTCAGTGTTTAAGAATTGTTGTCCATAAGTATATGTTTTAATACAATCGAAGCAAATGTAAGTTGTCACTCGTTATTTTTTGTGACTGAAATTCCCTATAAAATTTCCCTGCTCATCACCCTATTTCCTGATTTTGAGAGAATATATTTTTAGAAACCAGAAAGTCAGTGAGGCAAATTAGAAGGTGGAATAGGAAATGATGAAAACGATGACTTTAAGAAATCCAGATCTTCCCAATGTACCCTTTTTAAATGTAGTTTCTCAATTATGACATCACAATTCTTGTAGCCAGTGTGACACCATAATATCAATGTAGCCGGTGTACACAACAATGTCAATGTAGACAGTGTGACACCATAATGTCAATGTAGTCAGTGTTCACAACGATGTCAATGTAGAAAGTGTGACACCATTATGTCAATGTAGCCAGTGTGACACAACAATGTCAATATAGCCAGTGTGACACAACAATGTCAATGTAGCCAGTGTGACACAACAATGTCAATGTAGCCAGTGTACATCAAACTTTCAATGGAGCCAGTGTACACAATGCCAATGTAGAAAGTATGACACCATTATGTCAATGTAGCCAGTGTGACACAACAATGTCAATGTAGCCAGTGTGATGACACCACACTGTCAATGTAGCCAGTGTACTCCACAATGTCAACGTAGTCAGTGTGACAGCCTGATCTGTGTTGTGAGTATGACATTAACAGTGACAGCTCAAAGAACCAAGTGTGACATCACATCCCTATCCACTGTTGTGATGTCATAATGATATGGCAATTCTGTGGCTTGTTGCTTATTATTGTGGCTGTTCAGCTGCTGGGGGATCAACATCCCCTTCTTGCTGGGCCTCCCCTGCTTGCTGTCCCTCCCCCCAGTTGAAGCCTCCGGGTCTTTCTTCCTCTGGGAGGGGATTGTAATTAGGGTCATCACCCCCATGGTCAAATATCATTTTTCTGAAAGTTAAGCCACAAATTTAGAAATTTGTAAATATGCTGTGAAAGATGACACTATCATACTGATGAAAAATTATTTCAATGACAAATACATGACATTAAATTACATTTATAGACTCATTACTACAAATACATGAAACGTAGAGGTCTTCAATTAATCAACATACAGTAATATGTCCTTTCAGAATAACAATGTCCCAACTCACATTTTTGTGAAACTGAGAAATCAATTTTTGAAAGCTTAGACATCTGTAACTTCAATAGAACTGTATTTATTATTTTGTGACATCAAAAGATTAAAGAAGTGGTATGAGGAGATAAAGGTAAGGGACTATCACAGGAAGAAAGAGGATGATTTGAATATGGGAAATCTATGAAAATCTTATTTTTTTCAAAAAAGACACTTGGGGCATTATTAGTCTGATAGGATGATAATACTATATAAATAAAATTGATTGATGCTGTTGTTACTTACAAAAATCCAGGAGTTCTTAATATTTTAAATCCTCCCTGTTGCTCTGGGAAAACATCCTCTAGAAAGTAGTATATATGCCCTATTGCGATGCCTGGAAAATAAAAAAATCTCTATTAGGACTAGTCCTGCTTTTTGGAATATCACTTGTGAAAGATGCACAGTGACACGTATTCACAAAAATAGAATTAAATACAGGTATATGCATAGTTCTAAAAATCAATTATTTAAAACAAGAGAAAACAGCTCATAATGTGGCCCACTGGCGTGGACTGACTTCACATCAGCCCTCTTCTTCATTCTTTGTTTCCATTAACCAATACTAGTCGTAGTAATGGCGTCTGATCAGAAGAATAACATAAAGAGAATGTCTGAAGACATCATGAAAAATGTTATGGTATAACAAAGGGCGGAGAAATACATGGATATTTTGAGATAAACACTAATTTAAATTTGTTAATTATGTTTTTCTTGACTTAATTGAAGCAGTTGAGATTTCATTGAAGTGTGATTGACTTACCCATTAAATCTACAACTATTGAGTTCCCTAAGAGTAATGAAAAGCCTAATAATACCCAAGGTAGATATGGCGCCTGAAATATAGAAAATTGAATTATAAAATAACAATACGTACATGATCTTCCATGTTAGCTACTTTTTGCATGATTCGCTTGACTCAGAAAATTGCATACTGCAAAAGTTTCACGAAAATTATATGCATGGACCAACATCTCAGAAAATCTCTTGTTTTGTCCCGTATTGTGAGGTTGTAAGAATTTTTACTCATTCAATAACATTTTTCTTTAAACTGTGTATTTTATTCAGGTAGTATGGGGCCTTATAAATAACAAATTGCCATTCTAGGTAAAATATGTCCATAAGTGTGATATTCTAACATTTATAAGAATATCACACTGTTTAGAGCTGCGCAATAAATGATAATATAACCAAACACTTGAGAGGTTCTATATATATCTTTAAACACGCTAAAAGTGCATTGCGAAACCTCTCTAATATCAGTAACACTTATGCAATGCACTTGTAAATAGTACATAAATTTCAACAAAAAGGGAGGAGGATTCTACTCTATTCTTTCATTAAGTTACATTCGCAAAACCAACATTAACATTTTGACCTGATCTCTAAATACAAATGCCCAGTGCAAATGTAAATGTCATCCACTCACCTGAAAGTTCATTAGTCCAAAGAAATTCATTCTTACATAAGGATTTCTTCTACTCCAAACATAGACCAACATTATAGTGAATGCCTGGCCAAGGAATACAAGGTTTACAAATAATGCAGTGATCTGGAAGTCTGTTAAGGTTATAAGTGTACGCATGTTAACAGGGTTTTATGCACCTCTTATACAAATCTTAATTATTTGATAATACGACTAATTTTATGGAATTTTAAAGAACTTCATTGGGCTTTTAACTAAAACAAAAATAAGCAGATAAGAAATGTTCTCCTCTAAAACAAAACCACATGGGCATATAATTAAAATATCATCCCAACAACTCAAAAGTGATTGAACAAATTATGTCAACTTTTTAATTTTTTTAAATTTTTTTTTATGTCAACTTTTTAATGCTTTTTTGATATTTACCTATTTGACACATAAGTCTTTTAATCACAGATTAATCTTTTTCATCCCCATGGGTGATTTAATGATGGTAAAGGATACAGTCATTAATATGCCTCCAAATAGAAACATAAAAAACATATCAGCTGTGCGTCCTCTGAACGATCCCTCCTCTAACATCCGACAGTATCTGTATGTGAAGATCATGTTGAACAGGAAGTTGAACCCGATAGCACCAAAGAATAAAAAGTTTGTGACTAATCGCCATAGCTAGAAAAAATCAATATTGTTCTATTTAATGTAAGGTTATTTGCCTACCATATTGATATTGTTTATTGAAAAATCAATTAAACTTTAAGATAAAGCAAACTTAGTATTATCCATAGTTTCAATTAGTAATCTGATAGCTCTTGTATCATGAAAAAATTATTTTTCTTGTTTCAATCAATTCAAAGAAATAAAAATTATACGGCTGATAGTGACCATGCAAATATTATATTTAAGAGTTTCTGACAGGAGGTAAAATATAAAATGAAATTACCAAATTATTGCTTTTAACATGGAGACAATTGGAATTTCTTAAATACATCCTGCTATAACATGGCCAATGAAACTCCAGTTTTATTGTTGAACAGAAGTATCCATAAAGCATTGTCAAACAATATTATGTCAGTGCTCTTACTTGATAATGTCTGAAGACAAGCTCAGGATTGAAGTATAACTGGAAGGGGGTGATGACATCTAATTGCTGAAATGTAAGAATATAGTTTTCAAGAGGGTGATGACATCTAATTGCTGAAATGAAGAATACAAGATACAATTGGAGTGCTTCATGCCCAATGCCAAAATTGGCCACGCTGCACATACCTATCCGAATTATTTAGAGTGAACCCCCCGGGAAGTCAGTTAGAGATTCAATAGCCAGGTTTCTAATTGTCAAAAAGTTCAGTGACAAATTAGCATTCCACATATATTAGGATTCTGGGAAGTTCATTACTGAAAATGTTGATGCAACAAGATTGTCAACTGCCTATCCTTTGCATTGATTCGACTTCACCTCTTAAAAGAGAGTTTCATCTTCGCAGTTTATAACTGTACTCTGTGTGCAGAGTATCAATAAACTGGCATACAGTGGGAGACATTAATAAACCTCAACCATCAAAAGTTGTCACAATGAGCTAAATTCATGTCTCAAACTCTCCCAAGCGGAAGTCAAATAATTCCCGTTCACTTTAAGTAGCACAATAAATGAATCCAAAGCTTCACACCTGCAAATGATGGATTAATTAATTAAACTGGCATAAATAAGACTAGAATTAAAAATCATTGAACGTAAGTCACAGGAATTTGTCAAAACTGAAATGTGTCAATGAAAATAAATATCAATGACATAAGCAAGCACTAATCATTCTAACAGCTCCTGTGCACTAACTTAGACTTAGGGCATGTTAACTGATGTGAAGCACTCAGTCTTACTTAGGTTCAAAGCCTTCTCTATATTCCGGCTTTGAGTGATTGTTTGCAGCCGCCCTGATATTCAATATAATAATAAATCATGGTGACACACGCACAGTTGTTATGGCACAATTATGTGAAACATACCTTTATGTACACATTTGCAGAATATCAGCTTATATCCCGGTTCTATTCGATTGTTATATATATTTCAATATAGCGAAGTGGAATTTAATTTCAAAATGGCCTCCATTTTTCTGCTGAGTAAGCTGTATAAATTGCGGATCTGTTGAGTTTGAGGTTCTTTCCGAAAAGAAATTTTGAAATATCTTGATCCAGATAAGCAACGCTTCAACTAAATTATTAAATTAGAATTAGAATTACTAAATAGGGAGTTCTGGGTGCATGTGACACTTTTCTAGATTACATTCAAAATCAATGAAGTAACATCTAGCTGTAAGCTATAGACTAAGGGGGGAAAGCCCCAGAGCTTTAGCGATGACTGACATAATATGTCTCTTGCGTACCACTTTCGTTTGCGCAAATTCTCACCAGTTAATTTTCGAACATAACGCGGCGTCATTATGTTTTAATTGATGTAAACATATTCCTTACATATTTCTTTATCTTGATGTGAAAAACCAAGCTATGATATATTGGTTAATACGCCAGGAATCAACATAATATTATTCGAAGCCTATTAGAAAATTTTGAATCCGCCATTTTTGTTTATCTATTTGGACCAATCAGAGGTGTATGTCATCTCAATACAGGTTTACATTATGTATAAGCATATGTCATCTATGAACTCTGGTGCTAATCCCCCTCGAGTAAACTCAGTCTGTCTTTGAAAGGAAGGTGGATTGAAAAAGCTTACTCGAGTCTCCAGCCAATACTTGGCTAGAGGGGATTTCATCTGGAATACTGTGAACTCCATTTGAAAAAAGCTGGCCGCCATGTCATAAATTTATTGAATATTTTAAAAATCACCAGATAAATCATTAATTAAAACGGAACCGGCTCGGCTCCTTGATGAGATATGACATGATTTCGTCTAAAATTAAAACAAAATGGCTCCAAGAAAAATTGGCGATATTCGAAAACTGGACGAAATGTCGTTAATGTCTGACATTAGTAACTGGCTGTAAATTCTAAGTCAGTGATCCAGAAGATGTGAACTAATACACTGATCACTTCATGTGTGTTTTGGAATTTTTGGTGAGGTAATAAGACCAAAACTCGCAATTCAAATTGTGATGTGGAAAAATGGCGGACATATGATTTCAAATTTTATGATTACGACATGACCAGTTGTTCATGCAGGAATATATCTTTACTGAAAGGCCACGATATAGTGGCCTTAGAAGTAGGCTTCTAGCCTAGAAGAAGCAGAAAAAGCCCAAATTATTTTGGATTTGAGATTGATGGATAGAAATTGTAAAATTTCAAGTGGTTTTCAACACAAAAATTCACATACGTACCACTGCTATTGTCGTAAGTACACAGGCTGTTGTATATGCCCTCGTAATTGGGGGCATTTGCATGTATTCTTGCTGGAACGTCTGAGCCATTTTTTCTGCTTTCGATTTAGGCTTTTTGCCACGTCAGCTAATACGCATGCGCAAGTTTTAAAAATAAGACTGACTAAGCGCTCAACTTGAAATAACGGGGTCAAAAGACTTTCAGAACGTGAATTTCTAATCATTTGATGGAAAAACACAATATTTGATATAAATGATTTCGCAAAGTATATGAAAAAGATATAGTCAGAAATAATTATAGAAATGTTGACCTTATTTTGATCGAGTGGTATTACCTCAAGTTCCGGTTTAGAATAAACAAAAATGGCGTCGAGTTTTACCGCTTCTCCGCGATCATTTGACCAGGAATTAGACGAGAATGACAGCTTTGATTACGACGATGACAAAGATCTGTATGACCAAATGACTGATGAAGGTAATGCTTTCACCATATCAGATTTTATCAAGTTGTTTTCATGGAAAGTAACATTTTCTAGAAATTTTGTAAACTTTCTCTCCGATTTTTAAAAAAAATTGAAAGTAAAATATAAATATGTACGTACTTGCTTATCAATCTCATCGAGAGAAAATAATGAAATGATGTGATGTAACCATGCATCTACTTATCAGTATGTCTCGGCCTAGGTTGTGAATTCAGCCAAACGTGACTGTGAAGGCGAAAAATTATTTCTATTTGATATCAATATATCGTTCAGAGTAAGTTAATCATGCCTCAATCCTTCATGAGTTTTGATATCCATCCACCAATATGTAAATTATCTAAAATTACTTGCAATATGTCACATGGTCCTTTCTGATAACTACCCCGAGACCTTAATTGCGCATATTAGTTGATAAACCCACATGCGGTGAACTATTATCATCAAAACATTTAACTCAAAATTCTTTCAACACAGGGAATTTCTTCTAATATTTTTACAAAGGAGTGGTATCGATAGGGTGAACTTTTCGAATATGCGTTTCTCTTAAACCAGTCATCAAAACATTCTGAAAATTTTACACATCGTCAATTTAATGGTCATCTTATGGAGAGTAACATTATAATTTGTATTATGAATATATACTTTTCTCTATATTGTTTTAGAAAACACATCAGACACTTCTTTCGTTCTTGGTATCATATATTCGGAATGAAATGAAACATTATCCGAACCTCGTTGGAACAAAACGACAAAAACACAACATGTTTATGTCTCTCAATATTGTATTTGTACAAAGGAAAGTTTGGTCGATTTAAAAAAAGTATCTTGTTAATGGAATAAAAGGTTTATCTTAATTTTTATCTATTTTGGGGGGTTTTGTTTAAAGTTTTTGCATACTTTTTGTTAAATCAACCAAAATTTCCTTTGTATAACTAAAATATTGAGAGGTCTAAGAAAATGTTGAATATGCTATTTTGTTCCAACAAGGTTCAGAAAGACATTTTATTTCATTCTCAAGAATTGGTAGAAAGGAACAAAAAACAATTGCACTAAAAAACAAAAATGTTAACAAAAACAGTTATATAAAATATATATATAAATAATTTTTGCATTAAATTGTTGTCAATCAGTCAACATTACATAAAGGACCGTGTTTTTACAGAATGTTTTCAATAATTGGTTTAAGAGAAAAACATTGTTGAATTCAGTTCACCATATCGATACCTATCCTTTTACAGATTCCATCAGACCATTTTTGTTTTTTTTAATCTCTCCATTAATTACTTTATATATATAAATTCCTTTACCTTATTTTGTATATAATGTGTCTCTATTTTATCTATATTTTCCCTTAAAATATATAAGATACCCATTTCAAAAGTAATCAGAATATTGAATAAATCTATGATGAAAAAGGGACTATTTTCAGCAAAACACTATTTTTCCATCTACTCACTGCAGTGTCTATTTCAAGACAGTCCCATGGGAGTTTGTACAGTAACATGAAAATCTGTACTTTATCAGTACAAATAGCCTATCAGATTAACCACGGTTAAATGTATATTTATTTAGTTGTTTACATTTGTTAATTCATTTATAAGTAATGCAAAGTAGTCTATGTGAATTCGAATTTTAAAAAAGTTCCTAGATCAAAAAACTGAATTTACTCTATATTTGTAGTGGTAATGTGAACCAATACTCATCCTGTTTCATTTTCAGGTTTCTTACAAATATTTTAAATTCACCATAACCACTGGGTACAATGTTCAAACTTTGCAGGTTTGGAAATTGATTAACATTGCTATCGAGTTTCACCTTTGAAAATATTGAATGGATCATGTTAATATTACTCAAAGAATTTATACTCAGTAAAAGATTTCTCCTAATAGACATGTAGCCAGTTCCAGCAATATTCAGGTTTTACTGTTTGTGTATAAGAAGCAAGTTGTAAGTCTGATGTGTTTCCAGATACTGAAGACGCCAGTGAGACAGATATGGTGAAACGGGAAGAAGAATACACTGAAATCAAGGAACAGTAAGTAAAATATGAATTTTAAAATAAAAAAGATGGCTTTCGTCTTGAAATGCTTGCTATATGGATAGTTATTTGTATTAGTTATTAGAATATTGACTGCAACACTGTAGGTTTAAAACACCTTTAAAGATATAAATGATATCTTGGATGTACATCAAGACAATAAACCTAAGATCAAAATAACTTGAAAATATGACCGGCACTGTAGAATTTTACTCACCATTATATTGTTAAACAGGATGTACCAGGATAAGCTGGCGCAGTTAAAGAAGCAACTCCAACAGTTAAAAGAAGGGACACTGCCAGAATACATGAAACGACTCAAGAAGATTGATCAACAATACAAGGAAAGACTACGCATGGCAGATATATGGAGAGACTATGAGGTATGATGTGACTTATGAACTCACTATGTTAAACCCCTTTTGGTAGAATACAATCTATAGCTAAACCTAAAATATGTTAAGTATAAAATATAATACATAACCCCTAAATTCAATTCAATTTATTCCTTAATAATACAATAATACATGGTACATATAAAAGAATTAACAGATGACATCATTTCTGATGTTTATACCCGTACATGTAAAAGCATAATATTACAGATATTAAGAGTAAAGGTAAGGTCAAGGAATCAAACATATCAAGGTTGTGTTTTGTCTAAGGGAAAATCGAAGAGGGAGGGGGAGGTGCATCATAGATAAAAAGCTATCAAGTTTAGTGTCCAGTACCCAGGCTTGGAGTTATATCTGTATATATTTCTATAAAGGAGATAGAGCATGAATAAGGAGGCTGCAGTACATAAATATAATAAAAAGAAGGAGATCATGCATACAACGCCAGAATATGTTTCTTATATTTAGACTTAAGACATTTACTTGACCTTGATGTTTTTATTTCTGATGGGGGGCTATTCCAAATAGATGGTCCAGAAAATGAAAGCATCTTTCTGCCAAAGGTTTCTGTTTTAAATTTAGGCAAGGCATAGTTATATTTACCTCTTGTATCATACTTATGTAGTTCATTATGTCTTGTAAATAAGTTGGGAAATATATCATGTAGGTTATTTTCATTGTTTTGCCACTTAAAGAAGAATTCTGCCACATTGACTTTAAATATATCAGAAATGGTGAGAATTCCTAATTCTTTAAATAATGGTGGAGTATGATCTCTAAATCCACTCTGAGTAGCTAATCTTGTAAATCTCTTTTGTATTAAATGAAGCGAATTAATTGAAGTGATATTGGCATTTCCCCAAATGATATTGCTGTAAGTTAAATAAGAATGGATTAGAGAATGATATATAGTCATAAAGGTTTTCCTATCTAGTAAATGGTTAATCTTGTACAGAATGCCAACTATCTTTGATATTTTCATTTTGACTTTACTAATATGTTCATTCCATGAAAGATGTTGGTCAATAACCAAACCAAGAAAATTAGTGTGTGTTACTCGTTCAATAATTTTACCATCAATAAATATCTCTAAGTTCCTGGTATTTACCTTTTTCTGCTTTGAAGTAAATAATATGTACCTAGTTTTATTAATATTGAGTGACAGTTTATTGGCTGTAAGCCTAATCCGTAAAACATAATACAATGTGTAATCCCATGTTTTACAATAATACCTCTAAGAATACAATATGTAACCAATTAAAATACAATATGTAACCCAGTAGAATCAACAATACATAACTCACTTGGAGACAAAATATAATCATTCAGACTTCTGTATTATAGGTAATCCTCTCGATAAAATAAACAACAAAATGTTATGAATTTCCAGATAACCATGGTGGAAAATGACTATCTGTGTGAAAAAAGATATTCTGCCAAAGAGTTTGAAGAAAAGAAAATAGACCTGAAAGAGAATCTCATAATTGAATTAGAGGAAAAGAAGAAAAACATGGAAGCAGATAGGGCAGCTTTGGAACTCACAGGAGGTAACTACCATGATCCTCTATTAAGTGTACATCGAAATATGAATTATTGCCACAATGCATTACACCAGTCTCATGTCATGTACTCGTATAAGCCTGATTCCTTTTTTCTGTCTACTAAACTGCATTATCATTTTGGAAATTTGAATGATGCTTTTACTTTTAGTAAATCTATAAAACTTATATCACAAAAATGAGTCCGAAGACAAAGCAAATCAAGAAATTCAGATTTTGATGTTAATAATATTCGTAGTGATAATTCAAAGAAAAAATATGAAGTATTTTATTGTATTTTCAGATCCAATGGAGGTGAAACCTGTAATGACAAGAAAGTTGAGACGTCGTCCTAATGATCCCATGCCAATGCCAGAGAAACGGAGAAAACAATCACCAAATATCCTTTTAAACAAATCAACATCATTTTCAAAAATAATCCTGCTCACTTCCTATCAATAAAAACTAATTAGAATTGACAAGTGTTTTTTACTGTAAAGTGTAGTCAGTGTAAAAAGTAAGCCTTTGTGATATACAGCTAAGGAATAAAGAATCCGATATAATGTTTTATTGGGAATTTAAAAGCATGAGTGTATGTACCGTAGCCCATCCACATAATGTAGGAGAGGCGAGTACATTACCAGGATGGATTAGTACATGCACGAATGCTTTTAAATCCAATAAAGTTTGATACAGGGTTCTTTATGCAATTCAAATATACTGTCACTCATTTATAGAAAAATAACATTTTTCAGCCAGGTCTTCAAGAAACCATAATGCGCTGTGATGCCATCATTCTTACCAATAATGGGATTGCTCAGTTCATTATGAAACATTCCAAGTTTTTTGTTTTTTTAAGGCTTCCACTTAATTCCACTGTAAAATGATGTTTCTGCTCAGTTGACCATATACCTTGAATAAATGCACTGAAACACTCTAAGCTGATTGGCTGAGACACACTTGGCGAATTTGAATATACATGTATGATATGTAATTTGTGAATAGAATGAATAATGTTTTCTTAACTGAATCACCTCAGCTAAATTATGAACTAGATGACCATGAGATTATGGAAGATTTGCGAATAATCAGTAAAATAAGTGGGAAACCACTCAACCGTAAACCTCACATACCCCCTCTTTCGGGTATTGATACACCTAATTACGATGCTCGCATAGAAGATGGAAGGTTATATTATGAAAAAAGATGGTAAGAAGTAGTCTCTGATTGTTGAATTTAATTCTTCCAATTCTGTTTCTTGCTTATACAAGTTATGCATAAAATTATACATGAGCTAAAAGAATTTCTTTTTTCCTGAACAAAATGCATGTTTCAGCCAGAAAAAATCTTGTCTATAGTTGTCTTTTAAATAACTTCAAAAGTATTTTTGTGGATGTTTGACATTGTAAACAAAATTTTTTTTGAAGATTACCATTATTCATAAATTGTTTTAGGTTCCATCGAGGCCAGCCGGTATATATAGAAGGCAAAGATATTGGGAAGGTGAACGCGGTCATAAGTGCAGTAGGAACTCAAGATGTAAGGGATATAACACTAGTTACTAGAGTTACAAACTTTCTCTCTCAATTTCAGTCAAATAATTGTTTGCATATTGATACTGCCCTGTATCATTTCTAGTTTACCCTTAGAATTGTATGTAAACACAACCACCTTTTCCCCTTAGTCAAAAAAACTGGTATCTAGAACAAGTAAATACTGTAATCTGACTGGTGAAATGTGAAACCAAATAAGTTCAAAAATGCAACAATTTCCTCGAATTCTACAGCATTAGATTCTTTGCTTTATGGCTAAATGTATAAAAATCTATGAATATATTTATAATTACAAAAATAATTATTTGCATTATTTTCCAGGTATGGGTAAGAAAGTTACATGACAATAGTAAAATAAAAATATCAGTAGCCCAATTACAAAAAGGACGTTATACTTTACGAAGAAGGTCAACTTAGCAGAATGAGGACACAACGCCCTAATATGGGTAAAATGTCCAAATATGGGATTCAACAAATCAAAGAATCATTTGTTAAAATCAGTTGGACTGTATTGTTATTTGGTGGTTAGTCGTACCATATAAGGATACAATGCCCAAATATGGCATTTAACCACGCCCAGAACCATTGAAGAAGATATGATTAGACAATATGACCAAATATAGAGCCACCACATGAGAACGATTAGTAGAATCATCAAATGCATCTTCTCAATGAAACCACAATCAAATGGAATATACAATTTGTCAATCATCATTCATTTATTTATTTTTATAAATTAAATGAAATAATATTGAGAATAAATAACATCTCAGTATAAAAATAAAATCTTGTTTTTTCTTTGAGCACAACTTCATATTAAAGTTCATATCATTATGCTAGGCTTCATATTATGTGAGGTATCATATATGTAAAATGGAATTCACATGTTATTAGTGATAGAATAATTAGGTTTGTGGTTCAACATTTCATTGGAAGCTCGAAGGGGAAGTTTTTATGTCACCACAAGAAATTGTAACATAATTGTTGTAGTCTCCAACTTTTTTGTGGATTGTGTTTGGGATTCCGGATCTGTAACAAATTCAAAGAACTTCCAGTAATTGGTGGTGACATTTTGTCATGTTAATGCCTTGTTTTCAAATACTGTCAGGTTTGTAAGATTTTAGTACTCTTCATGGATTACATTGTCAATGCATCTCTTACAATTAAAGCTAACATTAAGGGAGTGATCTGGTTCGTATATTGGAATCTGAGTAGCTATCTCTTTACTTTTCTTTTGACAAGATCATGAAAACCCAAGAAATATTTAATGAGCAAAACATTTCGTGTCATTGTCTATAAATATTTATTGCTGTAAAGTACATTTGATTAAAAATGGCAAAGATTGGCACAGGTAGTTTTGTAATCATATCACATTTTGTACATGGAATCACATATCACATTCATATTGTGTAAATATTTTATCAATTGAGCACCAATTTTGTATAATATACAGTATACACTGTACAATCATTTGATTCAGTTATACACTAAGCCTAGCTAGCCTATATACAGTAAACACACTTAAAATGTCTAATCATTCACAATGCCTTATTATTGGACAAGTCTTGCATCAAGCACCTGTGTACTCCCTCCTTGATAGTAAATATGGCAAGATATATCAAACTTCCCCGATTGGCATCCCCTTCCCCCTTGTTAGCAACTAGGGTTTACAAAGCAGGGATGGATCTGAAAATTAACAGTGGGAGGGCGCAATAATCTAAGGATTCCTCCCCATGCAAAGGATTTGACTTTTTGATTCAGACTCACTTTTTGGAAAAAATGAACCCTCTTGCCCCCCTCCACAAATGTAAGGTTTGTAAAGTAAGGCCCACAAACTTGATGCAAGGCTACATAAGTCCACACTACCACATAATACTTCTCATCCTCAATAAATCACCATGATGATGTAAAACCAAATTCTTCATCAATACTCGTACATTATTTTATAAAATATGTACAAATTACCTGATAAATTATTTGGAATGATGTCTCAGTCTGGAATTATTTTTGGAATGACTTCATATCTTCATGACAATTATCTTTTATTCCAGCTGTTTAGGGCTATGTCACAAATATTCTAGTTTAATGGTTACCATGGTTACATGATTGTTACATGACAAATATCCAATCAAAATACTACATCTATTCTTTAACATATTAACCTCTTGAATGCCAGGCTCTAAAATCGGTTGAAACCAGAGATTTTTCATTTTTGCCACCTTTTGACATTATACTACATACCTATACAACTTCAGATGCTCAACTTAGTAAAATTAGATGGCAGAGATCATTTCTACATATTTTAAAACAAGTTTTGTATAAATTGGATGAAAATTGTTCAAATAAGAGCAATTTTAGTGAAAAATTTTGTGACGGATTTTCTCGTCACTCTGAGTTTCAAGGTCATTTCTGAGGTGACTCCAGGTAGTCAAGAGGTTAAACTGCAAAGTTCACTTTACTCTGGCATAAAGTCTTTGTACATCCTATTAAAACATGTTCAATATACAACGTTTTACTGTACATGCATTTACTTATTTAAGCAATATGATATATTCCTTGTAATTCATTGAAAGCAAGCACATTGAAGAGCAAAGACCCAAGAACAAGAGGTTATCCCACATGAACTCTTGTTCCTTGGCCTGTATTGTTCAAAGTATGTGCATTGTAAGAAGCAATTTAAGCAATATGATGTATTCTTTGCAATCCATTGGTGACAACTCTAGGAAGTTCACCCAGCTGATAATATTATATAAAAGTCATATTTTAATTAATCCAACTTTACATAATACATTAATTAAACTATGTCCTCTGGATTTATTACAACATGTACAATGACATGTGTTTTTGGATGAAATCTAAAACAGAAATCATCATTATTTACTGTGCAACATTCAAATTGATATTTTCTGTACATTGAATGCAGGAAAATACTCTATGAAGTTTATAATGTACACCATGTTCATGTTGAGTCAAAGTGCATACAAGTATATGGAACCAAGTTAAATATGTAATAGAATTCAAACAGGCTATTTTAACAAAGCATTATCACTTTAGTCACTTTAGTCATGCTTGATATTTATAATCCACATGAGGGATTATTTTTTAAAGCAAGCACATAGTTGAAAGCATATCCATTGTTGAAAGCACGCCTATGCTGAAAGCATGCCCATTGTTTAAAACATGCCCTTTGTTGAAAGCACGCCTATTGCTGAAAGCATGCCCATTATTGAAAGCATGCACATTTGCCTGGGGCACATTGTTGATTACATGCACATTCTAACTGATTCATGCAGCTGTGTTATCCTGTTTGCTTGATTCCATCTTCTCATTGTTTGTTATATGTGCTGGATGAGGAGGTGGTGTCACCCTCTGAGTTGTCACGGCAACTATAGCTGGAGAAAATTCTGTCACAGTTACTTTCGTACCTTTTAGGTTTTTCTCATCGGAGTTATTGTTTGTGAAATCATCTGCATCACCACGACTTGTAGATGTGACCTCATAACGTGGGGTTGGCATGGCAACTGTGGTAGCAGCTTGAGATGGTGTCATTGACCGGCTGTCATTTGCTGCTTTTGTCTGGTAGAATACACTCGGGTTTGAAATGGCCATAGATGGCGCTGCTGAACTAAGGCTGGTCTGTGTGACTGGAATTTCCGTGGTGTAGTAACCACCGGGTGCAGGGTTTGTGAGAACATATTCACCTGGGGGGTGAGGGGTAGGCCCGGGGGAGATGGTCTGATAGGCTCCTGTGTTTACAACTCTTCCTACAACATCAGGACCAATTCCACTTTCTGACATGGCTGTGCTTAGAATCTGACTGACAACCTTGACATTCGTGGCCGTTGACTCATGGGGAGCAACTGTTGCCGGGGGTGGCGTGTATGCTGCATATGATGCCATTGTTCTGACTGGGTAGTATACCTTTGTAGGGGAATACATTTTTGTTGGAGAATATACTTTTGGCTGGCCAGGCGGGTATTCTACAACCATTGATTCATGTCCAGGTTGGGGTCGTATGAGGGTTGTCACAGAGGGAGCTGTTGTCATGACGGGGGTGTGGACAACTGTGACAAGACTAGTTGGTGGTTCCCGTGCCTCCTGCATAAAGTACCCCCCTCCATTGGTGGCACTTAATCTTGGTTGTACAATCACTTCCTTCGCTGTCCTCCATTGCTGATCACTAGTCGCTATGGCAACAACATCCTGGACAATAGTATGTGCCTTGGTATCTGCAACATAGTAGCGCACGGGGGCAGGTATACTTGGGCTTGCCATGGCAACTGGCTCTCGATCTAAAGTATAATAACTAGCAGGTTTACCCTCATACGGTGACATCACATTAACTCTTCCTGTTGCCATGGAAACCATCCCCTCTGCAGTTTTTCTCTCAACAGGATAATAGGATGTTGTTCCCCGGGGTAGGCTGAGTTTTGGCATCTGGGAGGTGGGGGATAATAGGGTGGGGACAGGTTGTGGCTTCCCCTGCAGTACTGTGTAAGAGTTATAGTGCTGGCCACCTAAAATAAAACATCACATTAATGTCTATTCATCACATTGAATTATTCGATATGGGTTTTTGTCCAACCACATTGCAGTTTGTGGGTTACAGTGAATTATTTTTCTGTTGATTTGCTCAAATTCCATGAAATGTTTGCATGTACACTCATTGTATTTAGTTGGAAAATATCAGTTTCTCTTATTTGATTGGTCTACAAAAAATGGTTACTATGGTACACTGACTTTTGGCCACAAACAGGGGACCTTTAGTTATTGTTCCTTCATTTCCCCACATGCAATGCAGCAGGCATTGCACTCTTTAAAACTATTTCATAAAATGTTTACCTGAATGTGACGAATATGCTGGTGGCATTGGTTGGACATAATGTTGATAGGTGGCACCACTTGCTGGTTGTAGCGTCTGATATTTCCCTCCACTCTCACTTCTTCCATGCACTGAAGTTACATGTGATTCAAAGTGAGGATTAAGTGAAGTAAACATACCAAGTGGAACACCTTTGAAATAAGACACCTTTCGGAGTCCCACAAAGCATTGACTTGATGTTTTAACTTCTATTATTATGGTCCTCACCAAAACAAAGGTGGTCCACTTTGACAGATTTTACTGGAATCACAATTATCTGAGCGAATAACTTAATATAAGTAATTGCAGATTATTGAGTAACATATTTATAGGATATCCTATGATTTTGAGGAATATCATTTTTATCTACGAGGTGATATTGATATCTGCACGAGAGAGCATATATCAATATCACCGAGTAGATTATAAAATGATATTCTGAAAAAAAATCATAGGATGTTCTTATTATCCTACACTCACAAGGAGTGTACTAAATGTATAATATCATTGCAAAATGAATTTCATGCCAAATAGAGTCAATTTGGCGGGAAATCAACAAGCGGAGTATACCGTCACAATATCCTCCGCATATTGGGTTTTCCGGAGTATATCGTCACAATATCCTCCACCCGGAGTATATCATCACGATATCCTCTGGTTATTCATTTTACCAATAAATATCAAATGTAATTATACATTCAGTACATTAAGTGTAGGATAATATTTTATCATAAACAATCAAATCTGGGGCCCTAGGCAAGAAGCACAATTCATCTTTATTTTGCTCACTTAGATGTTTCTGCAGTAGGTTAGGTTGACCTTCAGTCTGGTAATAACCCTGACCTTGACCTCCATCTTGGTGACTTTGAATTCCAGACATTGGTTGACCTTGGCTAGGGGGGTAATGGTTGCTAGGGTATGTTGCTCCTTGGCTACTGTGGTGGGACATCTCCTAGAATATAAGTTGTGATATTTAAAGTTGTGATGCACACAGGTCTCACATATAGAATCCATTAACTCACCAAATTGTGTTGTGACATTGGGTGACCGGGTACCTGGTCGACTGGGTACCTAACGTTCCACGCAGGGTTACCAACTTTCAAAGTTCCACATTTCCCCCCATATCTAGTAGCGAATTGACTTGACAGACTATAGCCTACCGAGTGCACTGCTGTTTGATATTTTTACCCTATACGAGACAGGGCACTTTTTAAAATAATCGATCCAGCAAACAGTGACGTCCATGTCACGTTGCTCATAAGTAGCATATAAGTTCCTAGAAGACGTTGCACATTTTCGTTCTTTACACGTCGAGGCAACGTAAACATGAGACATCTATTGATGGCATAAAAAGAACGTTGTTGTAAAGTGTCCGTAAAGTTAGTGTGGAAAACATAACAAACAGGAACGTTTGATTTTTTACTACATTGGTCCATATGTGACGTAATTCAAACATTAAAATTCAACGTTGTCAAAACAGGCTTTTAATATCAAAATATTTGTTGGTGGAAAAAAACATCGATGGATGGTTGAATTTCAACATTGTGGAAATGGCTTCAAAATATTTGTGAGTTAAGGAAATGTTACAAAGACGTCGATATGTTCTCACTAAATCGGTTCATTACAGACGTTTTTTTAATTTAAATTTAAGTTAACGTTGTCAAAACGTTCTTACGATGTGAAATAACCTCAAAACGTGACGTCGAAAATAACGTACAGTAAAACCTGTCCGATGGAATACCTCTCTGTAGGGAAAACCTATGAACAAGGAATGCTTTTCAAAAGAACCAAATATTTTTCCATTGACTTACATGTTAACGGACCCTCTCTGTAGGGAAAACCTGTGAACAGGGAACAAGGAACACTATTTTGGGGCAAATTATGAAAATTCACCTGTGAACAAGGAATATGGAATATTGGTGACACTGTATATTCCATTATTTTTCGGAGGTGTGAAAGTCTTTAGCCAATATCTGATTCTAAAAAGCTTTGATTAATATGATTGCGATTAAGATAAGCCAATTGTTTACAAGATGTAGCATCCCACCCACTGTTAATTACCCTGATATATTTTAAAACTAATACTAATCTGTTTGTTACAAATTATCATGACACTAATTCTTCCTTTCAACAAACATAATTACATCGAATCTAGGGATTGACACAATTGTTTTATGGAGATACCAGATAAGTACATGTGTCATGTTGAGCCAAATCTATCAACAATTACAACAACTAGACATCATCATACACCAGCAGCAGCGGCTAAAATCAACATCCGGAGAATGCACCTTACACGACCTTCATACATCTTCAAAGATGTCACAACAAGGTCTAGCAACCAAGTATGGAGTCGGCATTGGTAGATTCAATTAATGCCCAAATATATATAAAAAATGCTTATTCGGCAATTCTGAGTTTGCTGAAAGTGCGGCCCCTCTCTGTAGGGAAAACCTCTGAACAAGGAAACTTTCCTCCAGTCCGAAGAGCATTCCCTGTTCGCAGGTTTTACTGTACATGTATCGTCCAGATCCAATGTTATAAATAAAAAGAAATTCCTAACCCTGCTAGGAGCGTTAAGTACCCGGTCACCGGGTTACCAGGTCACCTGGTTTTTTACACAAACCCTGTGACATTAATCACTATGAACATCACCATGATGGTACTGGGGGATTCTATTTTATGGAGTCATAACTCAAAATACAATTGACTTTACTTAATGGTCGAGCAGATTTTAATCCATGCTATTACATGTACATGTATATTGTTTTGTATTATAGTATACTATATTAAGGAGTTGAATTGCCTAAAATTACATAAAACATACTGGGGCTTTCTCCTGTTCAACTAACATTCCATCTCTGATGGCATTCCCAATACTGTTGGAACTATTTTCTTGAGTGGAAGCAGACATCTCTCTGCTGTGACTTCGAACTTCTGGATTTGAATCTGAAAATGCCAAATTTTTCAATTTTTCATGACAACATTTCAATGTCTTGTAAGATAGTAATGGTAGTCACATCAACTAAACAGTTAATTTTCTGGGTGTTTCATATGCACAACTGCATTTGGTCTCAGTATGCAATAATATCTAGTCTGCTAATGACAGAATTTGATTGAGACAGTTAGGTGCAATCTGAGAGTTTCTGGTGTTTTTCTGGTGCATCCAATATACCAGTGTGTGAGTTTTTATTTACCTGGGAGTTGCCTGATATGTGTAACATCACTCCTCTCTTGTGGTTGTCTCGTCCCCACAGCTTCCATTGTATCCATGGCAACATCGTTATCCATGTATCCCTCTTCTGTAATCACAGCAGGTTTCAACACATTACCTCAGGAATAATGGATTTTTCCATAGTTACTGAGATATTCATAGGATGTCATGACAAAATGAAAACTATCTTTCTATCCAGTGGAAAAATATTATATTTTTGGCAAAGGGGTATGTGCAGTATGGCAAGTGATTTTAGACATTCATATCTTTAATTATGAATATTTTCTGAGCATAAATACAGTGGTTTTTATTAAAACAATATGTTTTCTTTTTAGTAAAGTACCCATGATGATAAAAATATCAATCGAACAATTCAAAAAATTATGAATAGGGACCCCATGTCAACATTTTTTTCAAATTATGCAAATGAAACTGCTCAGTGCTATCATATTTCTCAAATATCTTTAAACCTAAATTACACCAGACAGAAGGACATTCTTACCTATTTTTGTACTGTCATAATTATTGTCATCATGATTCAACTTATATCTACAAAAGAGCAGGGACATAAGAACTTAAACATAAGATATAAAACTTTATCTAGTTCCAAAACTTCTAGTATAGAAGTCTAGTTCCAAAACTTCTAGTATAGAAGTCTTGGAACTAGATAAATAAAAGTGGCAGTATACCAAGTGTAAAATGTCAGAAAAAATTGTTTGAGTAAACATTGTATTGCGTTCCGAAATGCTTTATCTGAAAAAGTGAAATCTGAAAGTAGGTGAAAAAGAAATGTGCAAATTCTTCAAATGTTCAAGAACTTAGACAAAAAATTCCTAACGAGTGCAAAATATTTGTAAGTCCTAAAATTGCAAAAATTACAGATAGCATAATAAACATGTTTTCCAGGTGAGATATGTATAAAATATTTATTTTGAGATTGGATTATGCTAATTATTCTTTAATTATTGGCAAAGCCACCTCTACCTGAATGCTTCTTCTTTCCGCCTGTTTGCAAACCAATTGTAGACTCTGACCTCTGTCACAATATTATCCCCCAGGCCAGCAGCTTGGGACGGTGACACCCCCCTTTGTAGGCACTCGGCTCTAAAAAGGTGTTTTGATGTTATCACATACTTTTGTTTAAAGAGATCATTTGATGATAAATTAATAAAAATATAATGATACAATAAGTGACTTTAAGTGACATTTTTAAAAGTAAAAGATACACTAAGATGTTTGGTCAGTATTTAATTGACATAATGCAGATCAGGAAAGACTTTATTTTTAAACAATAACTAGCTATTTTAAAATGTTCAAATGTGTCTCATAAGCCCAGATAGGGCTGGTTGTATGATATGATACAAGTGACACTTTAATAAAATAAATATATAAATAAATAAATACAATACAAAACAAGAAAAATATTTTAAATATTTCATACAATGGACAAATTAATGTATATGACTAGATGTGAGGATGTACAATATGTGTCACAGTCAACAATTCATCACAACCATAACACTTTCATGTCACAATCATCAAAACATTGTTTATGTCACACTTTTGTGTCAAAATCATTAACATGTCACACTTTCATGTCACAACCATCAATATGTCACATTTTCATGTTACAATCATCAATATGTCACATTTTTATGTCACTGTCATCAATATGCCACACTTACATGTCATAATCATCAATAGGTCAGATTTTCATGTCACAATCATCGATATGTCACATTTATATGTCACAGTCATCAATATGACACTCTTACATGTAAATATCATCAATATCACAAATTCAAGACACAGTCATCAATGTAACATTTGGATCACACTTTCATGTCACAATCATCAATATGTCACACTTTCATGTCACAATCATACTAACCTATTACATTCTTGAACCAGATTCTCTCTCTCCTCTTTATTTGGATTCCTGTTTCGATTGAATGCATTGAACAAAATATCTTGGGATGAAGGACCCCATTTAAAGCGATTGCGTTTCCGTTTCGCTGCTGGCTCATCATCCGTATCATGTTCCTGTTGAGGACTGTCTTCTATGGCATGACTCTCATTCTTCCCATGTTGATTGAAATCTTCGGAAATAATAAAAAGTAAAACATCAATGGTGAATTTAGTACTTGAATTAATTGGCTGGAAGATTTGTTAACAACTACGTTTAAAATAACATAGCATGCAGTTAATGAACATCAAAACAGAACTGGAGAAGAATACAGAAGTACACGTATGTTCACTTTAAACGGTTAAAATTTTTCTCAATATGTACTTTGTGTTTGAATCTCTTCTCGAGTGTCATTTTTCAATTAGAACATTAAAATTAATTTTTCTGTTTTTTCTGACTTCTTAGTAACAAATACTTACGACTTTGAACTGATTTTTGTTTCTTCGTGAACCAGTTGTACAACAGTTCTCGCTTCTGTTGTTTCATAGGAGTCCCTTTGTTCAGGTGCTGAGATAGATGGCTCTGGTTGAGGCCCGTAATGTCCACTACCTCTCGTTGGGGTATGTTATGTCTCAGCATATAGCCTTTGATATAGCGAGCCACCTTCCAAGGATCATCCCTGATATAATGCCCAAAGGGCAAGATTAGAAACATCAATTTTTAGGGAGTTAATGTTTTTACTCAGAGCAAAATATTTTCTCTAATTAGCTCTGTTTCAAATTTTAAAGTATGCCAGAGACAAAATATTTTTGTCCAGTGCATCCCCAATTTTTTTTTCTTCAGTAACAGCCCAAAGATTTTGTATGGCCTCAAAAAATGGGCTTTTTGGGCACAACTTGGCCAAATTATCAAAAAGGGCATTTTTTCAAACATTTGTACTTGATTTGAAATTTGCCCCCCCCCCCCCTCCTATCCTTGTTAGCTTCTGGGTCCGCCAGTGAGATCTATCATGCTTTTGAGCATCATTTCAATGTGATTCATGCTGCATGCACTCATCCATAATAGTCAACACCCTGAATCAGAAATAATAGTCAACACCCTGAATCAGAAATAATAGTCAACACCCTGAATCAGAAATAATAGTCAACACCCTGAATCACAAATAATAGTTAACACCCTGAATCACAAATAACTGTCAACACCCTGAATCACAAATAATAGTCAACACCCTGAATCACAAATAATAGTCAACACCCTGAATCACAAATAATAGTCAACACCCTGAATCACAAATAATAGTCAACACCCTGAATCACAAATAATTGTCAACACCCTGAATCACAAATAATAGTCAACACCCTGAATCACAAATAATAGTCAACACCCTGAATCACAGTCAACTGACCACACCTGCTAGCCATACCTCCTTCTGACTTATAATAGATGCAATTCTACAGTTTTGGTAAAGATAAGATCTCCATGATCTCAAATGGAGCTTTCATTGTTTGAACATGAAATTTTCACTGGTGAATTGCTGATTAACAAAAGAATTAATTATCATTATCAAAGAGGGCAGATTATTAAAATTAAAATCTGAAAAGCAGAGCTTAAGGTCAAATGTCAACAAAATCCCCCCCAAAAGAATCTCTGATTGTGAAACACAATTTTTATTCCATTATGACATTTATACACTCTTCTCTTTGACCTCATTGTGGGATGTTATCATCAATACCAGTGGACTGTATAGGTGGCGGTTTAAATTTAAAGATGCAGTATAGTACCATAAAGGATTGGTATCGATATGGTGAACTGAATTCAACAATGTTTTTCTCTTAAACCAATTATTGAAAACATTCTGTAAAAAACACGATCCTTTGACAATAATTTCATGCAAAAATTATTTATATATTATGTATGTATAATTATTGTTGTATAATTAACAGCATTGTTCACAGCATTCATAATAATTATTATTAATTATGTATAATTATTTGTATATATTTTATATAACTGTTTTTGTTAACATTTTTTGGTTTTTAGTGCAATTGTTTTTTTCCTTTCTACCAATTCTTGAGAATGAAATAAAATGTCTTTCCGAACCTTGTTGGAACAAAATAGCATATAGACTAATATACAACATTTTCTTAGACCTCTCAATATTATAGTTATACAAAAGAAATTTTGGTTGATTTTACAAAAAGTATTCAAAAAATTAAAACAAAACTCCCAAAATAGATATAAATTAAGAAAAACCTTTTATTTCATGAACAAGATACTTTTTTAAAATCAACCAAACTTTCCTTCGTACAATTACAATATTGTGTTTATGTCATTTTGTTCCAATGAGGTTCGGATAGATGTTTCATTTCATTCCGAACATATGATACCAAGAACAAAAGAAGTGTCTGATGTGTTTTCTAAAACAATATAGAGAAAAGTATATACATTTTTTTCAAATAATATTGTTACCATTTAAAAATTGTTAAATTGATGATGTGTAAAATGTTCAGAATATTTTGATGACTATAGTTTCAGGAGAAACGTGTGTTCAAAAAGTTCACCATATCGATACCCATCCTTTCTCTTCTTGACAATCAATGATGTCCCATTATTATGGGAACAATCGCAACTGTCAAACTTGAAGACAATTGATTCCGTGGCCATTGAGATTCGATCTGTCAGCATATACAATCGCAAAATAAGCACTGAAAGTGGGGGAGGGATTTGTGACTTCTCAATAAGCAAAAAAGTCCAGGGGGTCTTGATTGTGCTCTTGGTAGAGGATCTCTTGAAATGATTTATCATTACCCGATTACTAATAAAATATGGCAATAAATGTGTCAAATATTAACAATATTCACAGTCTGGCTTTTGTTGAACTCTACTTGACCCTAAACATGTATATGAAGCCACTCGTTCTTAGGTGATAATCAAGGAGAGGTAAATACTAGAGATAAACGGTCCAAAGTTTGCTGATAAAATTGTTTAAGCAAAATATGACCAAATTGACTTTATAACGTTAATATGTTTAAGTCTTCAAAATATTGATTTGCCAGTGTAGAAGTAGACATAACTTCTTATGCTTATATACTATGTCAATAGATTAACTAAAATGAAACAAACTTATACCTGATGAAACCACAGAATGATAGAGAACATTATTTAGTTTTCTTTTATTGATTCATTCATGTATGTCTTCTTTGTGAATTGTGTTTTAGTTTGATCATTTATGGCTACATTTTAGCTGTATTATTTGTTTATGATTATGTACATGTTGATTGAAAAGGAAAAGGATGTTTTATTTGTTACATATTTAATTATTATGGTTTCCAGAGATTATGATTATTGTACCAATTGGTACTGTCTTGTTAAAAATAACTATGAAATGTCTCTAATATAACTGACTTAAATTCAGCTTTTTATGAATACCAAAGGATGGTTCCCCATTTGCTTCAAAATTGGTTTCAAAATATGGATATCCATTCCTCATATTAGTTATATACAGACTATACATACGGTTATTACATAAAAATTGAATGGTTTAGTAAGAAGTAACTAATAAACTTGATAACTTGGTTTACTTTGAACAATGTTATAATATTTATAACAATGCAGCATTCATATGAAGTTCCACCACCCAAGTTAATTTATAATGAAACTGACCAAATTAATGAATAAGTCAAAATAAACATTCAATTAATGTGAGCAAGTCTGCATCTAGTAAATCATTAGTGATCGAAAGCAGTAAAAATTAGTTAAACAATCACTTATGAATTTTCCCGATTGATGAAATATCAACTTTGAAATATTTCAGCTTTAGGTCAATCAGTAACCTTTGTCAAGGTTTTATGGTTAATATCTTACCTCATTAATCTATCTGGTATCGCAGATGCTGGACCATGTAAAACGGGTGAAATCATTTCTGCCACATTTTGCTTTTCGTCTACCTTAATTGGATGTACTTGTTTTATTTCAATAGATGGATTCGCTTCTTTTTTGCCATCATTTTGAATCTGTTCTTTTTTTGGACTTTGCTCTGGCTTGCCATTTTGTGCGGTTGTTTTATCTTTCTCTTCAGGTATTTCTAACTCGTGAATTATCTCTATTAGTTTTTCTTTTGTAATTCCGGAGCTGAGTATAGACACTAAAAGTTCCCGATGAAAGTTAATATTATTGTCTTTTGTCATTTTTAAGTAAATCAGTAACTAATATTTTATATCATCATCAGTACAACCATCATTCAAGTCCCCCTCCAAATCTACCTATGTCACGTGCTCAATGTTTACTTATTGATATTCATGCGCGTTTTGACCTAGATACGATAAAACAGCTTTCATATATAATTACTGCTTTGTTTATAGTTAGTTCATATCTTTTGCAGTTTCATTTTATATAATGTTTCACTGCATGTAATATTGTTTGATTAACCGGGCGTCTATAAAAGTAAAACTCGCCTTAATCAAACGAACTATTTTCTTATCATTTAACCCAGTGTTTTGTCCAATGGGCATGTGCGCGGAAGGATGTCTTAAAAGTGTTCTTCGGCTCACTTGCAAAACATTGAAAAAGTTGCTGTATTTTCGAAGATTATATGCTACATAACATCTACATAGGAATAACGCTGGATATAAAAGAACAGAGAATACATTGTCACATAATTATGTCGAAATTTATGTGATTATAGCTATACATGGAACTGTGTTATCCGAACTATGGTTGACCTTTGAAAATCCTGAAATTTAATTTTACTGAAACAAAACAAAACATTTCCTGTCGAACTAAGTTAGCTTGAAGCAGCTTTAGACGGCCAGGTGGGGTTTACTTGGTGTATATTTGAAGAAGAGAAGCTGTTGCTTGATACACAATGGCAGACGCAGTACCCATGGCAGAGCGTGATTCTTACGACTGGTAAGCTGAAAACAATTGTCATCTTTAGTTCGTTTTGGTTTTCAGGTTATTGCATCCTAAGATCCCCACTGCGTTTGTGGACGTATGCGCGAATCATTTGTCAGTCAATGTTTTTACAAAGTTTGAGAAAATACTATCATTTCTCAGTCAATGTTTTTACAAAGTTGGAGAAAATACTATGCATTGCATACGACCAAAATTAATCTAAAGTGGTCGTAGGATTTGATAAGTTTTCAGGTATCCTTTTATGTATGTAGGTAAAAGGAGGATGTAAACCATAGTCGGGCCCGAAGCCAGGGGGGGTTTAAGGGGTTCGAGCAAACCCCAGTCACAGTCTAGTATGTATCCAACAGACCGAATATAATATTCGGTCTGTTATGATTGATATATTTCCTGTGGAAATCACGGTGATATTTTTTGCACATAAATTTCTCGTTTATTACAAGAATGTTCACCTTGAAAATTGGTGAATATGTTGAAGAGATGTTCATCTTAAACTAGAAGCAAAAATATTTGTATAAGGCGGGTAAAAGTTGATATAAAATAATGAAATGTTCAGACTCACCAAAACTTCAGGATGTGTTCATAAGTAGATCGCGAAATCAATGTCAAGGACGTTTGAGTTCACGAGATCCAAACGAGATATGCAAATTTTTGAACTTTGACAACACATGACCACTTGATTACCTCGGCCTTCTTCATGAATATTTCTGCTCTATTTACTATAAATGACGAAAATTAATCGGGATAATGATAATAAATGACTAGATCTAATAAATTCACGCACAAATGGAATTTATCAATACGCTTCCGTAATGTTGCTCCGTCCGCTCCACGTGTTATTTGTTTACAAATAGACTGACGTCACTGGCTAAATCTCGTTTATCGTGAGAATTTGCATTGCCAAAATGGCTTGACCTAATCAATGGCTTCGCTACAAGAAGCGTCTGTACATTTTATGAATATCTTCAGTAAGAGGACAATATAGGAAAAAATAATATTGTAAGTTCTTTATAAGGTAATCATTTAATCATTAAACAAACTTATTTGTAACATTTATACAACACCACATTTTACAATAGGTGACTTACAGTTTGAATTTATTCAGACGAAGGATACAGTCTACGTCACAGTCAGTGTGCAGTTATGATTTCGAGCAAGCCCACATGTTCAAATATGATTGGTCAGGGGATGTGATCGTGGCATAAGCAAAAAACAAATTTATGTAAAGATTTGTTTTGAATTTTACAAAAATTGATGCAACTTCCTTCAAAATTTTCACGTAATCTTATAGATCATGATTTAGACTTTGACCCTGTGGTATTCTTATAAAAGTGAACCCCCTTAGCAAAACTTTGCTACAGGCCTGATACTTCTACAATTTGTGTGGATAGTCTATTATCGGCACACTACAGTTCAATCAGTAAATCATAGATCGCGAGCTCATCTATCAAAAACCTTGTTGATGGCCTAGTTTGTGGATATGGATTTTTATACAAAGCCCGATCACCAACTTCATTTTAGTAGTATCAATCAACCATGGTCTTTCGATAAAAAGTCTGTGGTTGGGCCAGAACAGTAAGGAATATCATAAGTTATCATAAAATTCTTTATATTTCCCGCAAAATTTCAAACTTTTGGCTTGCCCATTTCTTGAATACGTATGAATTATGAATGGGGAGTAGTTTACAGACCTCCCAAATGATTTAATGCTAAGTTTCTATCATTCTCCCTTTATTACAGTGTAATATGCAATAATGCAGGCTTAAACAGCAAGTCAAATTCATTTTTCTGTTTTCTTAATTATCCGACCCGCATACTTTTTTTCTGGTCCGACCCGACCTGAAAGATATCCGGCCCATGACACCCCTATTAGAGACATAGGGGTTATATGAAACTTGAACCCCTAGAATAGATGTAATTTAAGCTAAACGTCCTACTATACCCGCCATGCTATCCGACCCGATATGAACAAATTTTCATACTCCAGATTTCATGTCATATTAGTCTTATTTGGTTCAAATATCAAACCAGCCTCAATTATAAAGTTGTTTAATTTGATGAAAACTAATAATGTCAAAATCATCCATCTTGGATATGAAGGTTACGGCCGTTACCTACGCTTGATACTGACCAGTGATAACAGTTTGTATGAGAGTATAGGGCATCAAGGTAATTACGAATAAAAGAATACACTGATTTAACAGTGCAGTGCCATTTGCCCATTTGCTTCATACTAGTTAGCCATCAAGGATTACATACTAGGTGATACTGAATATATTACACACTTTACTTCATTATTTACTGTGACACACTTACAGTCCTTAATCTGAAGACAAATGCAAATATTGGGCAGTCTAAATAAGGTCATATATGCCTTAATTTGTGAGTTCAATTGAGGATTTGTCATGGCTGTCACCATGTATTTTTAATGGGGGTGATGTATTTAATGCAAATAACTTAGAACTACATGTACGTAAATACATTTGTTTATAGTGGGATTTCATTTTGGTTTTCAGTATGTTTTCAAAGGATTATTTGCAAATGCATGTATTGATGGTTTTGCAAAAATAATTCAATTTCATTTTTGGGTCAGGCTTAAATTATATGTAGATTTTGTTTTGGAAAAATGTTGAAGATTTTATGAAATATTAGTTAACAATTCATCATTTTTCAATTTTAATTTTTCTAGGATGGACAGAATAAAAAAAAACTCAATTTTTATGTAAACAAGTATTTATTTTGACATATTGTGATAGTTACACAATATATTTTTGGCGCACTACGATTTGCATTTGGTGTCTGTAACAAATGACAGTATGGTGACATTTTGCATGTTCATGCCTTCTTATGACTGTTTTGCATATATCATATGATCTTAACAAGATGATTTGGTTAAATGCAAATATTTGTAGCTCACGTTAAGCCTAATCCTTTTTATTTCCACATATTTCCTCAAGTCCATGTCCTTATTACCTGTGGGTCCATTTTTGGAACCTTCCTAACTTATAGTCGCAAGTCATTGTTCGTCAAAAAGTCGACAATGGTTTTCTCGGAATCATAAGTTACGATTGTACCAAAAATAAACCCCTGAATATCAGAACATAGTGCTATAGTAGATGAAGTTCTCTTTTAAAGATGGCAACCATTTGGAAAGGGTATGTCCCAGCAATGGATAATATTGAGGGTCAACTAAATGTGATTGATGCAGAGTAATTTGAATCAATTTTTGAAAATCCTAAAACCTCGGAACCTGTATTTTATTTAACTGTAATAAGAAGTTATAGAGTTTATGAACTTAAAGACCTTAGTTGACCTTAAAATCCCATGCCCAATAAGTACTAAATATTTGCACTATATTTATCTATTTAACCAAATTCTATATTTATATGTGCTTTATTACCCTATTACATTTGAACTCTTCCTTGCCAAAACCAGTCATTTGGAATTGATAGAAATATACAAACAGAAAATCTTGATTAACTAAATCTTACAAAAGTATGGACTTACACCATCTGTGCTGAAATACGTACAACCTAAGAATTGTGAGTCATTTTTAATATTTCTTTTATTTTCACTTTCGAATTCCAAGACCCCATTATAAAAACAAACCATAATGTTCCATAAATACCTGGGTAAATATAACCTGGCTTCATGTTTCATACAAGTAAATATTGGAAATATTTAAGTCTTCCTCCGGAGCAAATAATGTACTTTGTAATAGTTCAGTTTCAGTTTCTTTTCTCACATGGTGAGCTATTGTTATCGCCCACTTGTCTGTCCATCCGTCCATTCGTCTGTCTGTCAACACATTGGCAGCTAATTCAAAATCCTCCATTTGGCTCACCCTGTATATTCTGTATATTTTACACTCATAGACAGAGCCAGAAACCTCTCCTTGGAGGAACCCTGTGTTCCTTTATGCCCACATATGTCCTCTCAGTCAAACACCTTAAATAACCTAATGTACAAATATACTTTGTCTGAACCAGGATCGAATCCAGGGCCAAGCAGTAGCAGTAACTGGTTCTGCCAATAAAGCATAGCGCATTAAAATTCTGTACTGTCAAAGTGTACATTCGTTTTGTCCAAACCAACACTACCGTCAGCTGAAATATTGATTACGCTATTAGAATTTGAAAAGATTTTATTGCCTACTGCTGAGAGGTCTGGTAGGCCCCAACTATCGAGCGTAGGCCGACTTTTGACCCAAATATCGATCTTATCTATTTACCTTATCTTCAACTGACAGCAAATGATGGTATGTTTGTTTGTTCAAATAGCGGAAACACGCGATACTAACTTCGACCGTTAATTTGAAAATCAAGGATTGCGAGTCTCATACTGCACTGTTTT